GCAACCGCGCAACCGAACAGGCCCTTGGTCTGACAGCTAAGTCAGCTGGGCCAATATCTGGTCTGGCGCTGATAGCCGGACGCTTAGCTAGCAACAAGCAGCGAGACTAAGTTATTGTTAGTGCGCCAAAGGTAGTGGCTTAGGGTTATTCAATCAACTGTAGCGCTAAAGCTGCCGACACATATAGGCATTGTTTGTGTTTCATGGATTGGATGATGGTAATATGGTTTCTTTGGGTTGGTTACTTCGCATCTATTCTTACGACTGCATCTCTCAGGAGCAATCTGACATGCAATTACATATTAGGGCTGGAATTGTGGAGAAATACGAACATCAAATATTTAGAGAACACTATAGCGAGAAACGGGCCGTCGAATGGCATGGGAGGGTGGTGCGAAATCGTTCGCGCGGAGTGATCGTCGCAAATACGGGACCTGTACGTACTACTACTACGTAGCTTGGCTGGGGTCGCGTTCTCGAAATGCTCACGTAAACGTTCCGGCTTACCTGTATAGGTACTCCTACATTCACCCAAAACACGCTTCTCGGTCTTTGTTCTTTGCCAAGGGCTAAGGCGCAATGTCAGATGAAGGTTCAACATGCAATTTGCTGGTACAGAGCGATTGGCAAACGCCCTCTAAGAGCAGTGACTGTCGCGCGTGGAATGAACCACGGAATGGGTACGTATCAGATTGCTTACGGCCGCGATTCGGGAAGATGCCCCTATCATAGGGTCGATTGTAGCTACTTAGCAGCGTACACTGAAAGCAGCATAAATATGACAGATTTTTTCCGCTTATTTCTTACGCGTGGAGTAACACTTCCACCTTGTCAGCGACATGCAGTCCATGAGAGCCTATATGCCGAATATCGATGTGGTGTGACACCAGTTCCGTGGTTGTCATCTTTGTTAGTCACGAACAGATGACGAGAAGAGTTGTGAACAATGCTTGTGTGGTGATGCGCGGCAATTTCGGTAGTACAACCTGGACCTGGGGTTCTTCCAAGCTCGGAACCGCCAAGCATGAAATACGATGGCCTTATGGTACGTCCCTAATAGATTTGACAGCGAGAGACATCACCGACATTGTCTCAACATGGATTTCAAGTGCATTCTGACGTGTACTTACATATATACTACAATACTTATACCCAGGCCAGTACATATGCCTGGACTTCGTCAATGCCATCGTCAGCAACAGATCTGTTACCCCTGCGTTGCCCTACATAGCCGCGTATGCACATGCACCTGGGAAATTACTCCGTCCCGTGTCGGTACTTGTGGGGTGCATGGACCACTTCTTCATTCAAAGTCGAAACTGAGCTGACATCGTCTTACTCCGCGTCGGACCCGGCTGTCTTTCCTCGACGGCTTGTTGGCACCAACAAGCTTTTATAGACCCCTTATCCACGAAAAACCTTTCTAAATATCTCACGTGTTCGTAATAGCAGAACCTAATAGGTTCTTCCAAAGTATACATGTACGGATCTTCCAATGAACTTGACAACAGCCAATGAGCCAATACTGATAAACGCAATATCGAGTACAATAGCCCTGAATCAAATTAAACTTTCATTGGTTTCCGAGCGGCCGTAGCTAGTCACATCGGTGTGGCTGCTTGCATCCTGATAAAGGTTCCATTGGGATGGATACTTCAATAAAGCCGCGATAGGAAATTAATTGACGCAATCGTAGTCATGACGAGTCTTGCATCCTTTTCATATTAAGCATGTCGATTTTATTGTCTTAATTCAGGATGCACAAGAGGTTGTAGAAATAAGAAAAATAGACATTCGATACGACTAAGTGAAGGTCCGTTCATGTGCATACGAACATACTGCCCAGACCCACTACCGAACGCATGATCCCAGCCCATAATGGACAGTCAGTACAACCACAAAAACAAGCGTCATCAGCTTCAATCGCAGAGTAAAGATTAAGTATACATGTCTCCTTGGTCTCTACTGGAATACAATTATCCAACCCCACTTCATTGTCGTCACCCTCGTTGAATCAAGTACCGCCTGACAAAAAAACGATGACTTACTCTGAAACCACAGTTATCAAACATCTATATGACAAGTGGTGAAGCCAAAAGAACACCTCCAAAAACCACTACAGCTCTCAGTTCAGCCTGCCGGTCCTTCCAATGTATTTCGTCGACTAGGCACCCTCGGGTCCCTCTTCCCCATCGTAACCTCAAGCGCCTGGACCAAGCCTCGTTCATCGTACCTAACAAACCCCTCGCCCTCATTTCTCCTCCCATACACGCGAATAGCCTCAATACCAATCCTCCTAAGCTCTTCCTTGTCAACAGCCGGGGTCCCCGGCCCCTGCAAATGAATGACATGCGTGACGTAGTTCTTGTACTTTACCTTTTCAGGTGGCTCAAATATACCTTTTGACTCCTCGCCTGCCTTGGTGATGGCTGCTACAAAGTCCAGTGCTGTGTACGGATTCGAAGATGGTCCTGTTTCGCGATCAATGGTCGAGTTAAGGATGAGGATTTTGTAGCGGATAGAGGAATTGCTGATGGCTTCTCCGACTCCTTTGAGGACGAGAGAGGGGATGATGGATGTGTAGAGTGAGCCGATGCTGTATACAACGGCCTGAGCGTCCGCTAATGAGTTGAGCACCATGGGGTTGGCAGAGAGACGGATTTCTTGGCCATATGGGTTGATGTACCATAGCCGTTCGATCCTCGCGGGTAGTTCTTCCTCGTCAGCTTTTGAAAAAGTAATGTACTGTTTCCGAAGGGAGGGGAGAGACCCGGGTAAGTTGGCGTCTTCGATCCGGTCATGGTGCTCTGTTTCGTCAATTTCTGTAGGTGCACTACCGAAAACCAGGGCTGTTGAGATGGAAGGGTGTGATATAGAGTTTTGACCGGTGATTACTTCTCCGTTTGCAAGGCCAACGGAAATGTGATGTGTGAAATTGGTGTTGATTGCAGGGAGGACAGATGTGTGGCTAGGCACTGAGCAGATGCTAGAGAGCAGATAGATCGCGGATTCGAATGATCCTGTAAACAGTCGAGCACTGAATAGAATTAGCACTTGTGGAATATCACAGAGTAGCAATACTTCAAAGACCCATATGTCTAGTATAACGACAGCTTCAGAGTCGAAGCGTGTGCTTAGATGTGCATCCTGCAACATCATTCAAACAAATAAAGCAACTCACCCAGTCAGAAACAGATTTCCAATACTTGCGCCAGAAAAGTCGAAACTGGATGAAGGCCGCCGTCGCTTTACGATCTCGAACGCGACAACATTCAATATGGACCGTACTAGTTCTTTCTTCGCGGTAGAAATATTGGCCCACAGAGCATGCTCGGCCTCTACAATCTGCAGCCACTCTTCCCGGGCTAAAGAGCGTTCCTTAGGCAGCCTATGGTTGAAGAACGTTTTGATGGCTGCCTTTTCGCTATCGTCGTGATCTGGATCATCTGGGATCAGACGGACGAGACGACCTGCACTTGATTAATACAAAAACAGTGGATTTATGAGACAAGGGGTCATCGCACTTCGTACATCGCCAATACCTTTTCTACGTCAGTATTCTTTCTGGATGATTTAGCAAGCGATGCATACCTGGGCCTCCAAAGACACGGATCAGCTCCGACGAGCTCCCACCGTTATCGCTGATAGGGATGACATAGCTGAGTGGGCACTTCTTGTCCTCCCGCACCGTTTTGAACACGTCGACCAAGTTGTTTGCAGCGCTACCGCCGGAAAAGACGACAATACCTTTGGCTTTGAGATTGCCGTTCATTGTTGGCGAAGCCGGTGCTGTGTAGTCGCCATGTGGCGTGAGGAGGGTATCGGCAGTCATGGTGGAATGTGTGGATGTTGATGTTTACGTGAGATAGGATTGACCACGCGGGTCGTGGTTCGATGTCTTTTATTTCATGCTGGATTGTTGGCGACGGGGAGTTGAGATCCGGCCTAAGATGTGGTCGCTCTTTCACCCGCTCGAAGTCCAGTCACGCACTAACATCCTAGGACGGCTTTTGGCGCGTTACTCAACTAGGCAATATCTCGCAATTTTGAATCATGGCTGGTGAATATGGATGTCTTATATTTGTTGCATTTGCAAAAGTTCAAATTTGAAGGATTTGTACAAACGAGTCTCCAGTTCGGACATGATAGAAGAGTGATTCCAACGCACACTCTTGGCTCATCAACGCCCATGCCCGATGTTGCCTCATCACGAGTAGTGTCTGCATCGTGAGATAGGACCAATGCAGACGACACCTGTGATGAATCTTTGGACATGGATTTGGGCGAATTAGCCCTCGTCTCCGCACTACCCCTCCTCACGCTCCTTCACTGTGCCTTTACTAGCGATGTGCCTCTATGAGTTTCCAGCAGCCTCCTCGCGTTCCTTCCTCCGTGCTCGTTTCTCAAGTAGGGCGTCTCGTCGATCGGCCAGGAGCCTGAATTGTCGTTGCTCCACACCTGTGAGCCAGTAGCCGAAGCTGCCACCAATGCCGGCATAGATGGGGTAGACCCAGATAGACTCCTTGTTGAAGAGCGGGCGCATCTCAATGCCCAGCTGCCATAGTCGCGCGGCAATGCCTGGTGGACGTGGTCAGTAGTGTCGGTGGTGAGTGTGCAAAGGTCGTGGGAGACGTACCGAGCCCGCCCCAGACGAGGACCTTGTGAACCATTGTGAACTGGCCTTGAACGCAGTCGTGCTATCGCTATCGAAGAAGTCTGACGTGTTGTGCTGCAGCAGCAATTGGGTCAAGTGTTGCTGTCACCGCTGTACGAGGCTTCTTTGTCGCGATGCTCAATGTGAAGCTCCGAACTGCCAAGACAAGAACCACCTGCGCGGTTGCGGAGCGGAGCCAACACCCGCCGACTCCCACCCCAGCGCGACGGGTACTTTTTCGCGACTTCTCTTGATACACCACTCTGCATGCCTCAAAGTGCTGCACTCCTTTACAATTCGGGGTGACGCGCCCAGTCGCAACACTTCCAAGCCCTCCTACGTCATTTGCTGCCCAACTGGCCGCTCGCCCCCGTCTCCTGCATACGGCTGGTCGCACACGTCGCCAGACAACTGATCGCAACGACGAGCCACCGACCATGGCCGAAGTTGGACGCAAGCGCGCCCAAGATGGCGATGGTACTGCAAATGTGCGCAAGAAACTAAGGCCTTCAGAGCTTCCGCTCTCCCAGGCGAAACGATCGGCCATCGACAGCTTGGTACACATGTTTCGCAAAAAGGGCACATACGACGACATACGGAGGGACCTCATGAAGCAATATGTTTCAGGTGTAGGTAGCAGTCTTGCATGCAAAAGCCTAGCTAGAGACTGACACTTGTGCTTCAGCCTGCGAAGGATGAACTCCAATCCGCCCTCAAAGAACTTGTCGACCGTGAAACTGACCGTAACCCGTCATTACTATCCAAGGACCCTCGAATAGCGACTACCCTTATCGAAGGTGCTGGAGAACGCAGTGACATCTACGCGAACATCATGAGCACTGTCAATACCCTGTTGGACCGATTAATGGAGGAACAGGGCTTGCCGAAAATGCGCGAATACCGCATTCAGGAAATTGGAGCGGAGGCGGCCGCTGAAGAGGAGAAGCGAGGTAGTAAAACCGAAGAGGAGTGGGCACAAGAAGCCGAGGCTCGACGGCAAAAGCGTGAGGCTCAGAGGGAGAAGGAGCTGGAGGAAGAGCGCGAGAGGGAGCGTGCAGAGAGGGCCAAAAAAGAGGAGCGTAGGCGACGAGAAAAGGAAGAATACGAGGCTCGAGAGAAGGCTCGGCAGGAAGAAAAGGAGCGCAGGCGCAAGGAGCGTGAGGAGCGTGAGAAGGAAGACGAAGAGCGCCGACGAAAAGATCGAGAAAGGATTGAGAAAGAGAGGGAAGAGGAACGCCAGCGCCTTAAGAAGGAGCGGGAAGAGCATGAGAAGAGTCGAGAGGCCCGCCTTAAGAAAATCCGAGAGGAGGATGCCGAGCGGGAGCGTCGTATACAAGAGGAGCTTGACCGAGATCGTGGTGGACGCTATCGTAGTAGCCGTGGACGCAGCAGGACCCCTGACCGTGACAGAGACCGCCGAGGGCGTGACAGGAGTAGGCGAAGGAGCAGGACAAGGTCAAGATCGCGTGACCGCCGTACATCTATCAAGCCTGAGGACATCAAGGTGGACGATGATCTGGCACTTCAGCTCTTGCTGCAAGAGAGTGAACAGATGAAGAAGTCACGGCAGCGGCCCGCACTTGAACGCTCAGAATCACTCGAGCCGCCTATGCGGAAAGCACACCCACCAAAGTCGCTTGTACCGCGAGATCCAGTCGCTGCTCGACTGGCGAAGCTTGACGGAAAATCCGCCTCACCTGCACAGCGGGCCTCTAGCAAAGACCTCAGATCTCCCATGTCGGAAACACACACTGCAGCCGCAAAGGAGGAAGATACCCTGATGATGGATGCTCCACCAACCGACGCGAAGGGTCGACGAGGAGAATTGTCTTCAAAAGCCGATAAATCACGTGCACGTTCTAGATCACGCAGTATTGCTCGGAGCACAAGGAGGCGAAGCAGAAGCCGTTCACTATCTCGCGGAAGCCGCTACGACCGCAGGTCCCGACGGGATGATGATAGACATTCTTACAGGCCGACACACGACGGTCGAAGGCGCGATCGCGACGATCGTGACGATAGACGCTCACGCCGCGACAGTCGTAGCCGGTCACGCGAGACACGTACCAGCCGCCGCAAGTCGCGATACGAGACACGCAGCCCTTCACGAAGCCGAGAAGAGAGACGTCGAGACCGCACCAGGTCTCGTTCCCGAAGCCGACGTGATCGTGATCGTGATCGTGATCGCGACCGCGACCGTGATCGGTCGGCCACTCGTCGACGGCGTCATTCCCGCTCCAGGAGTCCAGATAACATTGATCGCTACGTACCTGGCGGTGCGGCAGCAGCAGCGGCGGCGGCGGCCGCCACCACCACTACCACCAGCACCCGGAAGCGAGAAGATAGCCGTGAGCGCAAGCGTGATGATAGCCGACCTCGTAGGCGTGACGATAGCCGCGATCGGCCACGGAGCTACAGATCTCGAGACTATGACCGGTGGGATGGTGGGAGAGAACGGGGCAGTAGACGGCAAGAGTCTGACTGCTACCAACCTGGTGGAGGGGGTGGAGATAGTGATGAGAAAGAGCGAGAGGGCGATCGAAAGGCCAGAGAGCGGAGTAGGGAGCGGAGTCGGGAGCGGAGTCGGGAGAGAAGCCGGGATAGGAGTCGTGATAGAGATAGACGCAGGCGGGTGAGGAGTCGGACGAGAAGCCGCAGCCGAGACCGTCGGCGCTGAGTGAGGGGTAGGCGGTAGGCTGATGGATTAATTGGTTTGATTCTTAGGGCGCATGTATCATTATCACTATGGGGTCGACCTCGCAGGTGGTCTTGACCAAAGAGCTGGTTATGCCCTGCTCGTTAATACTACACAGTACAGATGCGATCAGGTCATGCTGTTGTTTTCACTGTTGACAAATCAACATGCATGCATGGTACATGGACAGATGGATAGTGATACATGTGTAGTCTTGTAGCATGTACTTGTATATAGTACCAATTCGGGACGTGGGTAGGACTGACGTCGGCATGGACAAAAAGCAGGGCCACGGGTCCTGCGTGCCAAGCGGCGCTAGGCGGGGGATCCCTGCGCAGCCACTGCACGGCTGTGCAGGCGACGGAAAGACCTGGTCACGTATCTTTGTCCCATTGCGCGTGCGACGACGCCCTTGGTATTGGCTGCCTACATTCTGGCCCTCTTCCCACTTCTCCTCGCCCTCCTGCTCGCCACCCTACCCGCTACACTCATTCACCTCTACACCAGCCTGCTACCGACCCTCTGTTCTGGCCACCCACACATTGTTCTCTCCGCCCTGCAACTAGCGCCGCCGTGGTCATGTTCGCTCCCGGCAAACCCAAGATTAAGACGAGAACCGTTCTTGTCAAGAAGGCGCCCGCCCCCACTGCAAGCCCCTCACCCTCATCACGCCCTCTAGCCTCACGCCCAGGAAGTGCCTCGCGCTCCCACAGTGCATCTGGCCCGCCATCCAACCGCTATCAGTCGACGCCCCGCTCGCAAACAATCTCGAGGGAACGGGCCCCCAAGTCGGTATCCGTGTCGCGTGTCGACACCCGCAAACGCAAGGGTACCGATACCCCCCAGTGGGCCAGCAGCGATGAGTCGAGCGAGGATGATGACAGTGATCGCTTGGGTGTCAAGCGCCGCCGGACACGGCCAGCCAGCAGCAGCATTGAGCCCATGAGTCTAAATCGCGCTCTCGAGCCAGACTTGAGCAGACGCATACGAATACAGGAGGCTGAGAAGAGAGATGCAGCAGAGGCTGAAGGGCCTTCAAATGGTACAACAGACTCGGTCATGAGACAGGCCCAGGAGCATGCGACGTTTAGAAAGAAAAAGGCGTTGTCAGCCAAGATATGTCTGAAACATGGTTATGAAATGACAAAAGATGATGTAGCCAAAGCGTACAAATCTGCTTTTTCAGGAAGCGACCAGAAGCTTGTGGTTGAACTGCAATATCCCAGTCTCTCCCGTCCAGAAAATTTCGAAGCCGTTGCACGAAAAGAAGTGGACGAGGAATACAGCCCGCTGGAGGACATTTATTTCAGTATCGAGGAAATCATACAGCACTACCTCCCATCAGACCTATCTGCAGAACTGTCATCCGACGCACTAGGCACAGTCCGGCTCCTCAAGCGAGCCGTAACCAAGGACGATCCGGAACTCTTCAAACAAGAACTGACCAAATTCAACAAGCTGATCAAGGACCGCTACAGCGATGGCACAATACCCCACATCCTCGACGACATGCACGCCATCCCCCTCAGTCTGGTCAAGCGCATCACCGCCCAAAGCTACAACCGTATCGTCTCCCCGCACGCCCACCGCCTCCGCAAGGTCGCCGGCAAAGAAACGACGTACGGCGAGCTCCTCACCCCCTTTGTCCACAAGATCTTTGCGCAAACCGGCCTCAACTCGTCGCACATCTTCGTCGACCTCGGCTCGGGCGTCGGCAACGTAGTCCTGCAATCGGCGCTCCAAACAGGCGCCGAGTCGTGGGGCATTGAAAAAATGAAGCTTGCCGCCTCGCTGGGCTCGGAGCAAGCCGCCGAACTCAAGGCCCGCTCCAAACTCTGGAACATTGCCCTCGGCCCCATTGAGCTCATCCACGGCGACTTTCTCGAATCCCCCGAAATCGACAACGTCCTCCGCAAAGCCGATGTCGTCCTCGTCAACAACAAGGTCTTTGGCGAGACGCTGAATAACTTGCTCCTGCAAAAATTTCTCGACTTGAAGCAAGGGTGCAAGGTCGTCAGCCTCGAGAGCTTTGGTGGTGGCGCGGCCAAGCAGGGGGTTAGGAATGAACAGAGTATTGCGGGCCTGTTTGATGAAGAGCGGTATGAGTCTGGGACGAATAGTGTGAGTTGGGCGGGTGAGAGCGTTGAGTATTTTATTGCGACAAAGGCGCGGTGAAAATGTGAGTGAGGGGTTCAACTTGGGGGTCTTCTTTTCCTCCCTTTTTTGTTTTTGTGCTAAGTGATATGAGTATATCTTACTTTTTCCTTCCTTCTTGTACTTGTTTCTTCGTTCGTTACTCTTCTTCTTCTTCTTCTCTGTACCATAAGCGAGTGGAGGGCGGGGCGGGGAGGAAGGGGAGGCTGGTTTTGTTTGAATTTAGGGTTACATGTATGGTTACTATTTTACCGATATTTTTTGGTAACTGGTGGTTGTTGTTTTGGCTTTTTTTCTGTTTGATCTGGAAAGGGTCATCTAGGGTCGGTGGTGGGGGTTCGATAAAGTTGTTGACTTTGGGTTAGGGGGGGGGGAGGGAAAAGAGACGAGGAAACGCATTTGCATGGTTGTCAAGCATAGAAGGTCAACTTTTTTTTTGGTGTGGCGCTTTGATTGGAAATATCAATACCCCTCCCTTTTTTATTCCCTTTTGCTTGGTTTCCTTGTCGTTTGGTAGTTATGTAGACGGAGAAGCTGAAAAGCATGTGTTTAAAAAAATAGGCAAAGCATCCTAGTCATTTGTAAGATCCATATGCACAGATGCCTGAGTTTTGCTTTTTTTGTCGACGAACAAGGAAAGGAGATAATGCCAAGTGTACGAGTAAATTATACATTTGTATTCCATCTACAAAGAACTACTGCCGTTATTACCTTTCCTTTTTCCTTGCTTGCTATTTTGCACATTCCACCTTTTCCATTCCAGACATATATCTCCGCCTTTGAAACTCGACCCACACCACAACTCGATGCATCCATCCAAGGACCATATACAACATTTAGCCCCATTACACGCAGTGAACCAAGAATACCAAGCAACCATTGCATTATCTATTAAACAGAAAAAATGAGTGTCGTATGTACACGTATAAACATGTAGATGTAGTAGGGGGTATCAAAGGAATGGACAGCCGAACAATTCGCAAGGTAAAAGAACCCAAGAAGGAAATTCGTGTTCGCGTTTGTATGAAGAAGGGAGAAGAGGGAAAGATATGTACAATCTGAAGACCCATTAACAAACCTTTTTTTTTCTATCGATCCGAAAATTTGTACTCGCAGCTGTTTTTTTTAAAAAAAATATTTCTGATCTTAGAAGAAAAAGGCCAGGGCACCAAGACCAACAGCAGCATATTGGGCTCCATTGGCGACAGCAGCTCCGGTTTGCAGCGAAGGCTTATCGTTACCGGGGGCATTGGGGCTATTGGCAGCGCCAGTAGCTTGCACTGGGTCGACAAAGGCATACGTCGTCATTGTGCTCTGACGACCCTGTGCATCAGTTGTGGTAATCAGTTTGATGCTGCTGACCAGACTGCCTCCAGGTGTGATCGTAGTCAGAACAACAGAGCCGCGAGAGTTAGTCGTCGATGTTACTTCGCCTGCTGTTGGCGCAAAGTTGACTGCCGAAGTGGTGACGGTTGTACGGCCGGCTCGGTCTGTGGTTGTCTTGACGACGGCAGGTCGGTTCTCGGTCTCTGTTACTGTGCTGCCTGCTGTGTTGGTGCGCACAACAGTCACGGCGACGGAGGCGGTGGCTTCACTAAGGACCTCAGTGGTCTGCACAATTGTCTTGCCATCCTTGGTTACCGTGTTTTCGACAGGAATAATGGCGGGTCGCTGCTGAGTTGTGGTTGAAACGGCGGTTGTGGTCTGCTGCTGAGTCTGTGTCTGCGTCTGTGTCTGGGTTTGATCTTGGGTCTGCGTCTGCGTCTGGGTTTGAGTTTGGGTTTGAGTTTGCGTCTGGGTCACAGTATTGGCAGGGCCGTCACTTGTTCCGGGCGGTGGTGGTGGCGCAGCAGAGCTGGTTTCAGGAGGCTGTAAGTTATCGCTCGTTGTGGGTACCGGAGTGGAGTTCTGGATTGACTCGGGTGGATTGCTAGCGGTAGTGGCGCTATTGGTGCCGTTTGAAGGCGTCTGCCTCTTGCGCAAATCATTGACAGCATCGACGATAAGCTTGGAAGCAAGCGCTGGATTGCTGCTGTGGATGTTCTCGACTCCCCGGTGGTGCGACTCGAAGATGCCATTCTTGAAGTCCTTAAGATTACTTAGTGCTGCATGCAGGGATTCTTCCGGCAGCGCATTCAGCAAGTCCTGGAAAGCTTCCTGTGCGGTTGCATAGATGGTCTTTGGGTGGTCTACAACATCCTTGGGCTCCGCAGCTGCAATCGCGCTGAACAAGGGAAGTGCCATGACGGCAACCTGGCAGAAGGAACGCATGGTGATGACGTGCAAAGAAGGCGATATCGGCTAAATGAAGTAAAGAGAAGGCGGGTTGCCTCTTTTTTTAAAGGGAGGAAATGTCGGGAGCTGTGCAATTCGTGTCAGCAGAGCGCCATGATGTTGTTAGGCCCCGGGAGCGGTAACAAAGGGAACGAGGCGGAACAGATAGACTTTAGTGAGTGATGGTCGCCATGAAGGCGGTGCTCAGGACGTGCTTACACAATTTCAGTGGGTTCCCGAGTGGCTGGGTTAGCAGTGTGCCGATGCCGCGAAGCCAACAATGGACAGTCTTGTTTTGCTTGTTGCGTAATATTTCTCCGGTGCACTCGGTGACTTTTCTTGTTTCTGCCTATCGCAAGCAAGCCGGCCAGCAAGAAAGCAGAAGAGCAAAACGAAACGAAAGTGTCGTTTGTGAGTGAGAGAGTGAGTGAGAGTGGGCGGGTGAGGGTGCGAGATAGTACTAGCTGGTGTTCAAGTCAGAGTCGGGCCGAGGGACAGCGAGTGTAATGTGAGAGTGTATGTAGTAAGTAAGAGGAATTAATTAATTTGGAGCGAGAGGAACGGGAAGGAGCAGCAGCAGGCAGATGGGGACCTTAAGGCAGCAGGTGGAGTCGAGGTGATACATGGCACCATGGCACTAGCTGTGGCCTGCCTTTCGCCTCCCAATGCCACTAAAGCACACGCTGTCCCGACTATCCCGTGCACCCTCAACCATGTCCCCATGGCCCTGCAGTCATCTTACCCTCGTCGCGCCTCGCAATCGCTTATCCGCATCGATACTTTTCAGGCCTGTCTTGTCCGGACAGCAGTTACTTGATCAGCACACATGAGGCCATTGTCCCCGCACGCAAAGCAGGTAATTGACATGTATGCCCAGCGCGTGAAACAAGGCGGGAAGCAAGTTGGCACATAAACCTCGGGGGAGGGTATAATACGTGACAAAACAACACCAGACGAGTCGGGGTGCCGCCGTTTGCTTTGACGCCTCCAGCACGTCATTTGTTTGAAGAAGAAAACAGGGAGCAAGGGCCCGAGGCATCGTCTCCCTGATTGCGGACACGCGATGAAACCACCGTGTGTGCTGAGCCAACTTGACGTCGTTCAACTCCACTCGAGACCACACAGCCACCGCATTTGCCCGTACACCGGCCTTCTGCTGTCTCCTCCGTATCCCTCAGCCCACATGGCGTCCCCTCAACCAATCCTCGTCTGCGGCCTCGTCTGCCCTGCCCAATCACCGTCGTAAGCGTCCTAAAAATAGTCACCTTCCTACTTCAACCTCATCATGCTTGGAGGTCCAACTAACTCACCTACCGTTCGCGTACGCATCCCTACACGATAGACGATGGCTAGACAGAAACCCCACCACTCAGGCCTCCTCGCTTCTTCCCCGCTCGGCTCTAGACCTCTGCGCTTCCTGTTCGTCGCCACCACACTAGACCTATGCTCCTCTCCTGTTGGCTCTGTCGCAATGTGTGTGTGTGCATACGGGATGCACAGGGGCAGAGAGAGGGGGGGAAGGGCGCTGCTTATCATCTTTAGTGTACCGTACTATACATCTGCATACACCTAGCAGTACCACGTGTCGATAGTTGTAATGCTATCAATCCACAAAGAACACATGTGTGCAACCGCCAACATTGTTTATCAACTCCTTCGCTTCTTTCTGCATTGACATAGATTGATGCGAATCCTTTCGGTCCCCCGACTAATTATCCCATTGTACCTCGCCCATGTTACAGGTCGAGTACCACAACACAACATGCCCTTGCAACACGCCTTAAACCCCTTGACCTTGTAAAACATGTGCAATTCAACAACTAGAAAGGAAATCTCTTTCCAAATAAAAGCTACCATTCCCCTCCACATTTTTTTCTGACACTACTACCTAGACACACACGCACCCCTCCTTCCTATCCCTTCTTCTTACAACAAAAGTGAGACGAGGCCAACCCTCTAGTCCCTAAACACACACACACACTTACATACCAACACTTTGGCCCAAGCACAGCCTTTGCCAAACCGGAAAAATAAAACAGGCCATGTCGTAGCATGTATATATATATATATATATATTCCCCCGTTATAGACACGCTTCCGCCATGCATTATACAACTCAACAAATGATCCCTTCCTTATGAGGCTGGTGGACCTGTTGTTGCTGCTGCTGCTGCTGGTGACTGTGCATTCTCAGTCACTGGCGCATCAGAGCTTGCGTCCGCATTCATTGTCTGTGGCGTGATGGTGACTGTTGACCCCGATGAAGCATGCATGGGTCCAGATGGTGTCGACTTTGGTTCACTAGCCGGTGGAGTTGCAGTTGCAGCTGCTTCTGACTGCACCGGCGCATCCGCCTTAGCTTCAGGCACGCTTTCTGCATTCGTCATGGATGATGCAGCAGCCCCTGGCAGCGATTGAGGTACCGTTGCAGCAACTGGTGACAGCGGACTTCTTTCCGGCGACCGCGCTATGGAAATGGGCTCCGTCAACGCCGCAGGAAGGTTTGTCCTGAGCGCCATTGAGTTGCTCCCTCGCTTAGGGCTCCATGTATTAGCAGCCGCCTGAGGCGGCGGCGAGGGGCTAGGACCAGTGGGCGTGACATCATTCGACTTATCCGCTTTAGGCTGCGGCTCTTCCGTAGCCTGCGGTATATCTGATGGTCTGCCGCGACCAGCAATGTTTTCACTTTGCTGCCCAAGATTCTGCGGCAGAGGCCCATAGTTTGAGCTTCCCGGTGGGCTCTTGGCCCTTTCCCTTCTGTCTACACGATCTCTGTGATCCTGCCTCCGCTTGTGGAACCAGTCGAAAGCCCCCTTCTTTTCACTCTTGTCGTGGTCTGGCGGGCTACCAACTACCATGGACCCTTCTGACCCATGCCCATGTTCATACTGGCCGCTTCGGCGCCCGTTGCCTGTCCATCCCGAACTGCTGGCAAACGAGCTCATACTCTTGTCCGCGCCAATCACGGACCCTCGCAGGTCAGTCTGGCTCGCTGTAGGCGTTGCCTTGCTCTCCCCGCGTCGGTGATGGCCCTTCCAGAAGCTGCGCTTCTCTTCTTTTGGCGCATCTTCAGCCAACTCGGTTTCCGAATATTCGGTTGCGGTCGAATGTGACCTAAAGGAAGCAGAAGGCGACATGCTAGGCTTCAGAGTGTTGCCTGAAGCCTTTGACGAGTTTGTGTCGTGAATGGCTTCCTTGGAGCTGTTAGAGTGCGACTGACCTTGTGCAAACGCAGGCTGGGGCGGATGTAATGGTGAGGGAGGGCCATGGCCCGATTGTGATCCTCCAAAACCAGCCTCGCTGCCACCAAGAGAATGTGTAGAACTGTGAGTACTTTGACTCACGGTATTTGTCAATCTCTTCTTCTGGAGCTTGTTGGGCTTACGGCCATCCTTTCCGTCATCGGATTTACCAGTAGGTGAAGCACCTACCTTTGACAGAATTTGGGTAAATGTGCGTACAGCAGGCGTCATTTCGACAGGGGGCCCGGAATCGACAGGCCCTTCGAGAAATTCTGAGCGTTCGCGTGTAGGTGTATGATGAGGACTGCGTTGGGGACTGCGAAGGCCATTGCTAGGTGTGGTAGACCGTGGGGGCAAGAGAGACTGTGCAGCCTGTGCAGTGACATTGGGTGTGGTGGGCTGGCTTGGCGGGATAACGCCAGGTGAAGCAAGCGGGAAAGCACCAGGAATGTTTTGAAACCCAGGGCTGGTTGGAGGCATGCTTCGTCGATTGAGTGCAGTTGACGGCGTAAGATTGTCAGGTCCAGAGGCAACCTCGAATGGCTTCGGCATCTCTATCTTATTTGGAGGTACAGTCTGCGCTCGTTTGGGTACTGCCACTTCAGGTTCAGGGGGTTGTGTTGCTGCGGTCTGTTCTACCGCAGGTGCTGTACTCTGTACGGCCTCGGGTTGCTGTGCATGTTGCTGAACCTCTGGTTTCGCAGGAGCATGGGTCACTGGGACATTTGCGGTCTCTGGTGTTAAAAGCTCGGTCTTGACCTCTTCCACTGTAGAAGTAGTTTGCTTCGATGGAGGGAAGCGCGGGCTGCCGATCGCTGGAGTGCGCTTCGAGGGAAGTGTATTGCTTCGGTGCACTCCTGAGGTGGCTGGTGAAGCAAATGCTGGAGTAATTGGGCTAGGGACAGCCCCGGAATGACGAGAGCGCTTCGAAGATGTTGATACGTTTCTCCGAACTCCACCTTGCATGCGCAGACTCTCTGCACCGGCGCTAGAAGTTGTCGAAGCTGAGCGACCAATGCCGGTGCTGTTGCGGCCAGGAGTAGTTGGTGTTCTGGCCTGTGGGGTAGATGGCCCGCTTTCAATGCGTTGGACTGTACCCTCGTCGACAGCCGTGCCTTCCATGCCAATCAAGAAGTGATCCTGATTGTCGATGAGAAAGATCAGCACGTCTTGGCTAAGACGGTAATCTTGTGGCGACATATCATGCTGGGGATGGGATAACAGTCCCGGCTGGAAGATGGCAGCGAGATTCGACGTCGTCATCTTGTTGACATCGGCTTTGGCGGCAAAAACCGCAAGAAGATCCAAGATATATAACAGCAGCTGCCTATTCAGAGACGGCAGGGCCTTGATTTGGTGTTGATATATGCGCACGGCGGCGTCTGGGTCAAAGCCTCCAATGGACGGGGCCTGTCCTTCGCAGGGACCGACAGCTTCGGCCTGGTGGCCCTTGAGGGGGTCCCTAAAAGGATCATAGTGCTGCAAGGGGATTATAGGCTCTGGCAGGTTGTTGAAGTAGCGGCGCAAAATGTTTGCGGCATCGTGAACCGTGTAGCCGGACCAGTCGAGGCCCTTTCCATATCTTGGCGGCGTGTCAAAGGCCGTTTTGAGTTCCTTGATCCTCTTTTCCGAGCCGGCCAGCCGAAAGATGCCTTCCACGTCGGTTGCTGTGCGCGGGTTAACAGCTGGTGGCAGAAGTGCTTTGGCTTCACTGACCCTTTTCCTTCAAGAAGACACCGCACTTTGCGACGACAA